ATATGTAATGTCATTAACAATAATTGTCTTCAATTGTTCATAAAATTTTTTTACTATTATTTCAAGTACACATGTGTAAACATTTTGTTTACTTATTCAAATGTAAACAAAATCAGATGTTTTACGAATCGAATAATTGCACTTTAAGTGCGGTGCAGACTATCATACTGATGTGTCATACGAGAGAGAAAACGTTGTGTGACACACAGGTACGATAGTCTGCACCTCTCACCAATATGTTGGGGTGCTCACAAACATTTTGGTGAGCAGCTCTCGCCAACGTGTTGTGTATGATATTCTATCACCCCAAACGATTCATACGTCATACAAGAGCATTTTTACCTTACAAATTTATTGTAAGCGGGCGATATACAGTTTGTCAACATTGTGTTTGCAAAACGAAAAAAATGTTACAAATGTTTATTAAATGCCCAATAAAAACGATTTAATTTTGAAATAAAAAAAAATTAAGAAGTTTACACAAATAAATTAAACATTTCTCTTTATATTAAACTAAAAATTAATCAAAAATATCATTAGAACAATAAAATAATTCACAAAAATAAAAATAACACCAAATTTGTTGTGTCAACATTGTGTTTGCAATTTCTTATTTTCAACGGGACAGAATCCGTTAGATGTGTCTGGGTTTTTCTGTTTGTTATAATATTCTGCAGAAGCAGTTCAGTTTCTTTGTTATTTAGTAAAGTAGAGTGTTTTAAGTGAGGGAATAACTAGAACGCACGTGATTAAATATGCCAAGTAAAAGAAGTAAAAGAACAAATTCAAATAATATTGAGTTAGTATGTTGTAATTACTACCTCGGTAAATCTGCTAAGGAATAAAATCTAATGTTTAATATTAGGTTAAGAACTATTTATAATATCATAAACAGAGCAGAAAATTAGGATTGTATTAGTTTAAAACCAGCAGACCACCGTATTAAACCATTGTCTGATCGCTATATAAGAAGAGTATTGCAAATAATTGATAAAAATCCTTGAATTTCCTTACGATCATTGGCATTAGGTCTGGAGAAGCTATTTAATACTGTTGTTAGTCACGAGGAAATAAGAAAAGTGCTATTACAAAACATGTTATCTGTTCCAAAAATTGAAAAACGATTTCAGTTTGCTAGCACATATTTAAGATATGATTCAGAGTACTAAGATGATGTGATTATAAAGATCGCAAAAAAAGACGCGGCATATATAAAATATACAAAATTTGATCAATTATAAGCAAAGCGCAACCTATACGTTAACTATCCATTTTTTCAATTTTACGATTTTAAAATTTTATTTTAAACTTCACACAAATTTTCACAGCACCACCCGAAAAGCAGTCTTCAAAAATTTTGCGTAAATGACGACTCTTGTGTCTCATACCTGTTCAAGTTCAGTCGCTAGAAGAAATTTGAGCAAAAGAGAGTGCAACTTGTGTGACACACCAGCATGATAGTCTTCACCGCGCTTTAGAGTAGACCGAAATTTTCATTTTATTTCTGCTTAAGTTCACTAAAGTTTTTACGGTACACGTCGGCTGATTGTACCTTAAAGCTTACTTGGCACTTATAATATATTAAATTCTTAATGCTACCACATTTTTTATGTAAAAGTAAACGTTTAATCTGATACGTTCAAAATAAAAAATTAGTAGAAATCGCTTCCGAATATTAAAAAAATAGTAATAATTAATAAATTCGATTTGAATTATGCAATAACTGATATCTCTACAATAAGAATAGTATTTAAATCAAACAATTACAAAAAACTATAATTAATTAATTCAATTATTCTGTAACTGTTTTACTATTTCGTTGTAATACCGCATGGTAATTTGTTTATAAGCTTTCACAGCTAAATTCACAAAATACCAATTTCGAACACACAAGTCAAATACGGACTTCAAATATTCTGTGCTTCAAATTTGACAGGGTACGCGTTCACTCTTGGTACTTGCAGTCTCAAACAATAATTTAATATAAGAAATAATTCTATGACCACGGATGGTGGATATTTGGCAATACTCGAAACAGCTGTATGGTCAGCCAAAAACTCAATAAATAAAAACAATAAAACATGTTATTGTTTCAATTCACTACATATTATTGTTTTCAATTAATACGGTAGTTTCTATAAAGTAAAATGGTTCCTGTCGTCATAACTGACATTATAATGGAAATAAATATAAATTTAAAAATTCAATCAATCTTCCATAACTCAAAATTCTATAACACGAATTTTTTATAACTCAAACTAAGTAGAGTGCAACAGCGTTTAGACAGCAAATTATATACAATTACAAAAAAAATTTTTAACTCGAAGTCTCTATAAGTCGAACTTTTTTTTACAAAGTTCATAGAATAGGTTCTATACATAAGAAAGAAAAATAAAAAATCATTCAATATGTAATGCGTTTTCAAAAGAATATTTTAAATTTAACATTAAAAATTAAAATCAATTATCTACAGCTGGTTTATGATTTAGTTTTAATATAACACAGCATGTGAATTTGTTAATAAACTTTCACAGCCATTAACAAAACCCCAAATTTTAATTTGCAAGTTAAGTACGGCTTTAGGTCAGTTAACTAATAAACACTGACTGAACTTCAAATTTGGCAGGGTACTAGTCCACATTTGGTACTTACAGTGTAAAAAATTATTTGCGAATAATTAAATGTAAGAAATATTTTCAAAAAAGCCACTGATAAGCATTTGGCAACACTTGAAACAGTTGTATGGATCATCCAAAAATTAAATTAATTAAAAATAAATGTTTTGTTTTTGTAATCCACTACTGCTTGAAAAAACCTTTTTTAATCAATGATATATTGAATGAAGTTTCTACATATGATTTTAATTAAATATTTTGTGTTGCGTGAATCGACGAAAATAAATTCAAAAAATAGAAAAACAAAACTGAAGCAATTTTATTTCATAAATCGATACGATCAAGTATGCTCTCTGTTTAGAATAACTATTTGCACCGATATCGTTACTTGTACTAATGAGTCTTTTTATAGGTTTCTCGCCAAATAAGAAATTTGTATATATTAGACTTAATTCTGTTCTGTCTTAATTCTTAAACCTGTCATTTTATTTTTATATTAAACTTAAACGATACTCTTTCTTTAGGATTTCCTTGTGAAACATTAAGCCGTATTATAAATTCGTTAAAATCACCTTCAATGGTTTGCGAAGGAACACATTTCGATGGACAAATTCCACATACTTTTGTCATATTTGGCGCTTCTGTAAGTTTGACGATACGAAAATAAATCTTATATGGATTTTGTGTTACACGTCTGTTTATGTAATTAAGAAATTTTAAACAAATTTAATTTTTTGCATCTGTAGGGTGACTTGGCAAAAAAGAAAATTTATCCTACACTTTGGTGGCTTTTTCGTGATAATCTCTTGCCAAAACCCACAAAGTTTTGCGGTTATGCTCGTTCGAAATTATCCATTAAAGAGTTAAAGGAGAAATGCCACCATCATATGAAGGTATCGTATATTTTGAATATCAATGTGAAATATATATTTAAACAAAAGTTTATTATATTTGTGGCATTAAGGTGCAACCGGATGAAGAAGTGAAATACAAAGAATTTTGGGAACTAAATAATTACGTCTCGGGCAGCTATGATGGTCTAAGGGGTTTTGAGTTACTTAATAACCAAATGGAAATAATGGAAAATAAATGTAAAGCCAATCGTATATTTTATTTAGCGTTGCCGCCTTCGGTATTTCAAGAAGTAACTGTAAATCTAAAGCAGATTTGCATGTCTAAGAAGTATGGATGTATCATTACATTATTTAATTCAAAATTTAATAACCTAATTTTTTTATTTAATTAGAGGATGGAATCGTGTCATAATTGAAAAACCATTTGGTCGTGATGATGCGTCATCAAGCCAATTAAGTGATCATTTGGCATCATTGTTCTCTGAATCTCAAATATATCGTATTGATCACTACCTTGGCAAGGAGATGGTACAGAATTTGATGACTATACGTTTTGGTAACAAAATTCTTAGCTCAACATGGAATCGGGAAAATATTGCTTCAGTTTTCATTACATTTAAAGAACCCTTTGGTACTCAAGGTCGTGGTGGATATTTTGATGAATTCGGCATTATACGCGATGTTATGCAAAATCACCTACTACAAATTCTATCATTAGTTGCTATGGAAAAACCTGTGTCGTGCCACCCTAATGATATACGTGATGAAAAAGTGAAAGTACTCAAGAGCATAGAAGCTCTGACTTTAAATGATATTGTTCTTGGACAGTACATTGGAAATCCAAATGGTGAAGGTGATGTAAAGTCTGGTTATTTGGACGACATCACTGTATCAAATGATTCTACAACACCTACATATGCGTTAAGTGTTTTACATATAAACAATGAACGGTGGGAAGGAGTTCCGTTTATATTAAGATGTGGAAAAGCTCTAAATGAAAGAAAAACTGAGGTACGGATTCAATACCACGACGTTCCAGGTGATATATTTGAGGGTAACAGTAAGCGCAATGAACTTGTTATTCGTGTACAACCAGGCGAAGCTTTATATTTAAAAATGATGACGAAAAGTCCTGGTATAACGTTTGATATAGAGGAAACTGAAATGGATTTAACATACGAGCAGCGTTATAAAGATTCATATTTACCTGATGCATATGAACGTTTAATACTGGACGTGTTTTGCGGTTCCCAAATGCACTTTGTTCGATCAGATGAATTACACGAGGCTTGGCGTATATTTACACCTATATTGCATGAAATTGAAAAACAAAGGATTAAGCCTATTCCTTATTTATATGGTTCGAGAGGCCCAAAGGAAGCCGACAGAAAATGTGAAGAAAATAATTTTAAATATTACGGTTCATATAAGTGGCATGGAAAACACTGATATTTAAGCATGAGCAATGAAATATATAACATTTTTGAATATTGGTTGAACGAATATATTTTTTCTATTAAATATATGTATGTTTGAATGAATGAATAGATAGTTTATAAGTTTGATATATTTTGGTAGTATATTTTATGTTGTATATTTAATATTGTTGAATATACACACAAATAGTTTTTTCAATAGCTTAAGTAATGGTTCTATTATGCATTAATTAAGGGATTATTAATAAAAGAAATAATTTTGCAAAGCTTCTATTTTTTTTTATAAAATCATAGTATTATCTTTGAACAAGATACACTACACATGCAAATGTTATTATATACAGTCAGCGACAAAACTCTACATACACCCCCCATTTTTGCTAGCTCGTAAATCCAAGGACATAATAGAAAAAAGTAATGATACAGTTTTGTTTAGAACTGTTTTTTAATAATAATAAACAAAAGAAAATCCATTCATCAATATATATTAACAAAGTTATTCGAAAAAAACCTAAAAAAATCATTGACAAAAGTCTACATACACTTCATTGGTTGTTAGATATAGTCGACACTGTCGACTCGACAGTAATTTAAATGTTAAACTGGAAAGTACCGTTTTTCATATTTCATGCTTGTGGCATGAGTCATACATTTATATAATGCACTTAGTTTTGCTTTGAGAGTGGTATTTAATTGACACGAGGGGTCCACGAAAAGAATTTCAAGTGATATGCGAAATCTGGTTATTAAGCATAGAAATGAAAAAAAACCTTATGGTAAAAGTATCAAAATTAGTAAATTTGACTCGATCAACAGTTCAGACGATAATAAAAAATTATAAAAATTGTGGTTCTATTGAAAATAAGCCTCGCAGTGGCCGCCCAAGGATACTCATACGTAGGGATGTCAGCTTGGTTTTAAAAGAAGTTAACAAAAATCCGAAAGTAAGTGCCTTAAAATTAGTCGAACACATTGCTAGTGCAACTGGAAAGCATGTCAATCCACGTATAGTACAAAGAACGTTGAACAGCCACGGTTTTCATGATAGAATACCACGCAAAGAACCTTTAATTTCTGAAAAAAACCGAAAGCTGCGCTTGGAGTTTGCCAAGCAATATAAAGAAAAGGATTTTGATTTCGGGAAGCAAGTTTTATTTACAGATGAATCCAAATTCAACATATTTGAAAGCGATGGGAGAGCTAAAGTTTGGAGGAAAGCGAAAACAGCACTGAACCCGAAGCATATAATGCCAACTGTAAAGCATGGTGGTGGCAGTGCTATGGTGTGGGGAGCCGTAGCTGCAACTAAAGTAGGAAAAATAGCTTTGACGTAGATTGGCATGCTTCCTAGTGGCATTAGCAATGTGTTCGACTAATTTTAAGGCACTTGCTTTCGGATTTTTGTTAACTTCTTTTAAAACCATGCTTCCTAGTGGCATTAGCAATGTGTTCGACTAATTTTAAGGCACTTACTTTCGGATTTTTGTTAACTTCTTTTAAAACCAAGCTGACATCCCTACGTATGAGTATCCTTGGGCGGCCACTGCGAGGCTTATTTTCAATAGAACCACAATTTTTATAATTTTTTATTATCGTCTGAACTGTTGATCGAGTCAAATTTACTAATTTTGATACTTTTACCATAAGGTTTTTTTTCATTTCTATGCTTAGGACGTGTGCGAGTTAGGCTAAGTTGATGCTAAACCAAATGGGAGATTTTTTGGGATTTTTTCCACTGCACACATTTAGCCACTTAGCCCAAAAAAGTGTGCGAGTTACATTTTGACAGCTAGTATCAGCTGTGAACATATTTTGATTTCAATACTTTTGTTACATATTTTGCGATGGCAGAGAACGCAGAAATCGATAAAGTATTTTTATATGCGCAATTTGGCAAATTAATGGAATTATATAGTCAGCATAATAAATTGAAAGAGAGATTCTTAGAAGAATATCCAAAGGTAATTATAAAATAATTTCAGTAAATAACATAAATTATCAGTTTGACTATTTAGCGCGAGCTTTTATGCCAAAATGGATATACTTCGGCAATATTTAGAGCTGTTGTGGAGAAAGATAATTCAATCATAAGAAAACATTTAAGGCTTACAGTAATAGCATTGGAAAGAGTTTTCAATTACCGTGCAAGGTTTTTAATACTAAAACGGGATGGAATGACCGGTTTATTATTACTGTATTTTTATATTGGCTTGGCTGTGGTGCAAGCTATCGTGTAACAGGAGCTTCGTTTGGAATTTCGAGATATACTGTGCGGGATATTGTTTACAAGTGCTTGAAAGGGTTCCTTTCATTAAAGTCATCGGTTATTAAATATCCAGCTGAAAGTGAGTGTGAAAGCATTTCTACAAAATTTAACCAACGAGCCAGTACTACAATTTTCAATCGTGCATTAGGTGCCATAGATGGAACACATATACCAATAGCTGTGCCTATACGACTTCGTGATCAATACATGAACCGAAAGTCATTTACATCAATCAATTTACAAGCTGTATGTTCCAGTAATAAGGAATTTTTATCTATTTGTGTTGGTTTCCCAGGATCGGTGCACGATGAGCGGGTTCTACAATGCAGTGAATTATTTAATTTGCAAAATTTTCCTCCACCAGGCTACTACCTGCTAGGCGATAGTGGATACTGTTGTCGGACTAGTCCAATAGCAATTCCACTCCATATAAAAGATTGCAGCCGTTAACAGCAAGACAAAAGAAATTTAACGAGCTTCATAGTAAGGCTCGTACTGTTATTGAATGTACATTTGGTGCATTGAAAATATGTTGGCGCTCAATTTTTGATAAAGTTCTTAGGTTAAATCTTGAACACTGTGTTCAAACAATAGCTGTAGCATGCATAATGCATAATATATGCCTGAATGATGGACTTGATCTGATTGAA